AAGCTGCCAGAAAAATTTGGATACCACGTCGACAAGGGTTCGATATTTTCGGCAATACATGTATTGGTCTATGATTCCCAGACCGTTGAAGAATTTGAACAAGGTTGGGAATCGATGATCGAGGTCTATGATTTGCACGATAACAATTGGTTGTCGGGATTATACGAGAACAGATCTCGTTGGGTACCATGCTTCTTGAAAACAACCTTCTGGGCTGGGATGTCGACAACACAGCGTAGTGAAAGTATGAATGCATTTTTCGATGGGTATGTACACTCGAAAACCTCTTTGAAACAGTTTGTGGAACAATATGAGCGAGCAATGAGAAACAAGGTAGAAAAGGAGTTCCAGGCTGATTTCAAGTCGTTCTCCCAAATGGTTCCGTGTGCTACAACATACGAAATAGAGAAGCAATTTCAGACAGTGTACACAATTTCAAAATTTAAGGAAGTTCAAGCTGAGTTTGCGGGTAAAGTTTACTGTGACCTCATTTCTGTATCGGAGCAATTTTTTGGGACAACGTACGAGGTACGGGAGGATGTTGTTTGTGTCGATCGACGGAGGAAGAAAACATTTTTTGTTTCATTTAATAGAGAGAAATGTGAAATTGTTTGTAGCTGCCATTTATTTGAGTTTCGGGGAATAGTTTGCAGACATGCGATCGCAGTATTGATCCGTAACGACGTCACACAATTGCCTGATATGTATATACTGCGGAGATGGAGGAGAGATGTGAATAGACCGTACCTGAGGATCGCAGTAAAATATGATGGGCTGGTTAGTACTCCTGGACAGTTGAGGTATGATGATATGTGGCAGGCGTGCGCCAAAGTTGCAGACCTTGCGGTAGATGATGAAACTTGGACTCGTACGATAATCGAATGGATACAAGTTCAACATAAAAAGCTTATGATCACAAACTCGAATAGTGGAAGCAATGTCCCTTTGCCGCATAATTTAGTCTCTCAAGGCACTGGTTCACAAAGTAATTGTAGTGGGAGCATACGGGATCCAAAATCAACGAAGAGAAAGGGGGCGCCTAAGAAACTTCGAAAGAAGAGCCCGTTGGAGTCAACTTCAAAGAACAAGAAGGTATTTTAGTTTGTTTTCCTCTAAATGTAAACGAAACTCTAAAAAATAAGTATTGGTCATTCGAATGTACGTACAGGCACCTTCGACGACATGCAAAGGAAAGAGATCAACAACGATGCATAACAGTATACCAGCGGGTGCCGTTGATGTTGATGCATGTCAAAAAGAACTATCTTCCACGTGTTTGCAATTCTCTTATTCACAACTTTTATTGGTTAGTAGGTGTACCATAGCATTTTCATGAGTTTTTTTTTTTTTCATTTCTCGTTAAAGACTTTTTACCTTTATTTATTACAGGGCAATGAAGTAAGTCACTCGTTAACGCAACACTTGCTGTCTTCTACTTCCATCCGTCCGTCGTCAACGACCTTCGTAGTCAATCCTCAAGGTAAAATGTTATTTATTATAGGACAATGTTATATTTATTGTATTGTATTTATTAATCTTCTTGTGTTTTAGGTCATCCTTATCCATACTACTATCAAGGAGGTACGGGCTTATGACGTTAATGAATCAATTTGAAGTCACCATCCTCGAAATGCCAAAATATGCATTGTTGGGCTGAAAAGTTTTCATCTGATGATGCTGTTAAAGATGTTATGCCTCAAACTGATAAGCTGATGGAGTTTGCTAAAGTGCTTATGGCTAAATCAAAGGCTTCTTGAAATGGAAGTTTTAGTTTTCTATTAGTGCTTCTTGTTACTTGATGGACTTGGCTTTGGTTTGTGTTTTGGATGTTGTTTATGGTATGAATAATATGGATTTGTCAAAGATTTTATTCACTTTGTGGAGTGTAGGGGCTGTAGCTATGATGGAAGTAAAAAAATAAGTTTAGTCGAACTAGACTAGCTTTGGGCTGATTAGGCGCCGACTTCCTCTATGCCTCAGCTTGGAACAGCCCGGGCAGGATAGGCCTCAATTATCTTAAATTTTTTTTTTTGATTGATTATCTGAAAAATAAAAAATAAAATAAATGAATAAAAAGGAGCACACAAGCTGTTGGCTTCGATCGTGCCATCTAGACTAATAGAATGGTTATTCAGACAACTTCCAATTAAAGATGTTTTCTACCATGACAACTTCCAATTAAAGATTGAGAGAAAAGATACTTCGCCTGATGTATTCAGGATTAACTTATAAGCTCAATCACACACATAACTTGACAATGTCATACATTTGAATTTAGAGCTGTTTATAAACTTCAATTTAAATTCTGTTTTTCATGTTTCCCTAGTGTTCATTTTGCAGATTGCCATGGTTGTACTGCTTCAGTTATGGACTGCAACCTATCATTGAGTACATCTAATACCAATTTAGGTAGAAATTTTAGAAGGATGGTTGGTTATACACCACAAAAAATGAACAACTACAAGTAGCCAACACGGACTAGAATTTACAAGTCTAACAAAACGAAATCAAATTGTTTCATTATCCGTTACACATTAATACAGCTAGAAAGTAATTTACACGAACGAGCAATCTAAGTTATTTATACATATAGAGAAAAAACAAATTGCTAAGAAAGCAATCGACACTAATCAACCCAACCCCTTCCGTTCGTGTTTACTTCGGCACTTTACTTTCTCTTAGAGATAGTCACGTTCAGAGATATATGGATCTCTTCATGGTCTTTAACCCGAACTTGAGATTGGAACATGTGGGAAATATCATCAATTTCATTATGACTAACGTTGCTAGATTCACCGCTTGATTCTCCAATGTTGCACCACTCCCAAAATCCACATTTCTCACTACAACATTTGAAGAATTTTCCTTTGTTAGAAGTATCTTTTTCGACCTCAAAACACTTTTGGAAACCTTTCATACACCGTGGGCATCTACGTTTCGTCGGGCATTCTCCAAAGAAGTGGCCCTTACGCCTGCAACTGTGACATATACCTGAATTTTTTCTTGCCATTCTAATAGTATAATAACATAATAAAAACCATATGAAATTAATACACAATTACAGGAAGTAGCTTCCAAATTCAGCATTCTCATTTCACAATAAGCTCATTCTCATTTCACAATTTCACAGCAATTTCAGACATTAGTAAAGTAGCTTGCAAAATCAACATTCTCATTTCACGCTTCAAATCCGGAAACATGCAGGTCAAGCTTCAAATCCAGAAAAATCACAGCATTTTTTACTTTTTTCTACATCTCTACGTATGACAGGGAAATTGCTCAGAATCAAGTAACAATAAATCAGTTATCTCCTTTCAATGTTTAAATTGTGTTGTGAAAAATTATACCCACTATGCTTACTGTCAAAAATCCAAAAATCTTCAAACAAAAAGTTAAAACTAACATCAAAGCCTGCCATTTACACCCAACATACTTCAGTTTCAAAAAAAATCAGAACTTATCGTCGTTTACATGACATCGATCTGCTTCGGAGAATGAGATGAGAGACTCGGAGACGTTGTAGCTTACAGGATGTCGCGCCTTTTCGGTCTATGTGAGGACAGTGCCGGAGGAGTTGTCAGTCGGAGGAAGATCGGCAAAAGAGTGAAGGGAGGAGGGTTTCTCGGTTGATTTGGGGGAAATGGGGGAGAAAGTGATTTTGGGGGAATGGGGAGAAGTGAGAGAGAGAGAGATGGGCGATTTTAAGCTTTTAAATTTTCGTTTTATTGTTTTTTTTTCTTTTTTAACTGTGGCCACGTCGGTTTGTAGCCCAATGTTGTAAGGGAGGATTGTACCCTAGCACGACTGTAAAATAATTTGATTTAGTGGATTGTGCGATTTTCGGATTTCCGCAACGTTTAAAAACGTCGAAAAATAAAAAATTTCGACACATTTCGCAGCGTTTTAAAAATGCTGCAAAAAGCTTTGTCTACCGCAACGTTTTTTAAACGTTGTGAAAAATAAAAAAATTTGCAACAATAAAAAAACGTTGCAAAAAGGCAACATTAGCAACATTCACTTAAAAAATGTTGCCAATACTTAATTTTGTTAAACAATGGCAATATTCATATATTAGAATGTTGCGATAGATTCCTTTAACAACATTGAACTACTGATTGTTGCCTTTTATGTGTTGCAAATGATCATTTTTGGCTTAGTGTGTCAAATTTGAAATGATTGATATGATTTGTGCAATGATTACAAATGATGAGTACCTTAAGTGTTAATTACCCTTTTAACTTATTAAACGTAAGGTTTTCTAAATCTCACTATAAAAAATTAAAATGTCAAAAAAATACAATAGGTAACATATAGAAAATTACATACAAGACTTAATTTTTCAGTTTGATCCTCTATTTATGGCCATATTCGTGTAATTTTTCCCTGATTATTTATAAGGCCCAAGGCGTGGCCATTACCGTAATTGTACTGTACCACACATCACCTGAGAGGTTGGGCCATTGCAAGGCATTGGCCTAGAACAAAAGAATCCAAGTCTGATGAGATTGTGAACAACTGTACATACAAGACTTAATTTTTCAGTTTGATCCTCTATTTATGGCCATATTCGTGTAATTTTTCCCTGATTATTTATAAGGCCCATGGCGGGGCCATTCCCGTAATTGTACTGTACCACCCATCACCTGAGAGGTTGGGCCATTGCAAGGCCTTGGCCTAGAACAAAAGAATCCAAGTCTGATGAGATTGTGATCAACTGTCGTTAATCATGTCGACGTTGACACTTCTAGCATTGCCTAAGGCACTTGCACTCGTACCAATATGTCCACTACGTTATCTTTTCATAATTCATTTCAGATCATAGGTTGAATCTGAAATTATGCACCATTTCTTTCTCATAATGGGATAAGAATCAGCCGTCTAGTATTTTATCAATACTACAAAATTCTCAACTTTACCCTTTCATTCTTGAAATTGCTCACTGCAAATGGCATGAATTTGACATCTGATTGTACAGTTTTACAGCTTGATTGTGTTGTATAATGGCTTTCTATGGATACAATGATGATTTCGGTGAGTGCAATTGGACTCCCTCTGATTGTGAATTTTATAATTCTTCTTCCTATTATGATTCCTCGGTAACTCGATCACAATTGAATTACTCTGTTTATGATATACACGAGCCTGATTTGACCCAATACGAGCCGATTCAGTATTATGAAAACGTGCCTAATTTGATCCCATATGAGCCGATTGAATATTATGATTCTACTTCCAATTACTATGATGGTTTTGAATCTCGATTTGATACAAATTACTCCGTCTATAGTTACAGTGAGCCCAAACTTGTTCAGTACGAGCCTCCTCCTTATGCTAGGGTTTATTTTTCATCTGCGACAAAATCCCAAGTTTATAATTCTACTGAAAAATTCAATTAAATTGATGAATATGATCCAACTCCTTACAGTGGCGGTTGTGATCCTTCGGCAAATTATGGCAGCCCCCTTCCATCCGATCAAATATGTTATCCTCGTTCGACTTCACAATCCAAAGGTGCAGCTTTGGAAGGTTTATCATATAACTCAATTCCTTCACCTTATGGGGAAAACGATAAACAAATTGCAATCAAAATTAATCCACAACCCCAGGGTGAAAATGTAGATAAGATTGCCTTAGATGGTGTGGGCAGTGAAAAAGTTGGAGAATTACCTGATCCATAACCCCAAAGTGAAAACGGAGATAAGATTAAATAAATGACCTCGTTCTTACGATCGCTGATTGTCGACGGTGAATGGTCAACGTTCGCCCTGACTGAAATTTTGTGCTGGATCCGCCCCTGATCATGATAATGGATTTGAGAATGGGCAAATTGGGAGACAAATTCCTCAAATTCCATATGGTTCTGGTTTGGAATGTCTGGATCTTTGTGAAAGTTTATTTGGATACTGACCTTGCTTGGCCAAAAGAAATCAGAAAATGAATGAAATTTGCTCAGTTTATGCCTCAATATGAAAGTTCATGGCTGCGTTACGTTCATTCAACTCCATTTGAAAGGTTTATGTCAATATATTTCTTTGTTTTCATGCTTCATCTGGATAAATTCCACATTGTTTCATATTCTCGTTTTGCTTTCTGTATATGATTTGACTCTGCCCATTTTATGCATAATCAGCACCAAATCCAGAATAAATGAGGATTACCATATATATGTTGACATCTTGTGGATGTGAAGAATCTAGTTGTATTGGACTTCTTGAATACGGCAAGTTGTACAAATGCAATTAAGGATTCACGTGAGCAACGTTTAGTTTGTTGCCATTAGTCTCACAACTAAACTAATGAATACCCATCTTATGGGTGAAGCAGTTAATAAGCCTATTCTACAACTTGCTTAAAGTACGGATTAAGTAAAATTAAAACATTCTTGATTATACAAAAACATTGTAAATTTAAGTACAAAGAAGATAAGAGATTTAATGCAGAATGAAGTGAAGAGGAAGATCAATGTTAGGAAAGACACAATACATTATTAGAGAAAGTTTAGAAAGTCTTAAAGAGAAAGAAAGCGGTTAAATAGAATATAATTATGAATCATATCTCCAATTTAATTAATTTATAATATGATCTTAAATACTATATGATTTAGTCATTGTTCTCTTCTTTGTCGCCTTATCATTGATTTATGCCAGTTTATGGAGCCAAAAATGAATGAAATTTGCTCAGTTTGTGCCTCAATATGAAAGTTCATGGCTGCATTACGTTTATTCAACTCCATTTGAAAGGTTTATGTCAATATATTTCTTTGTTTTAATGCTTCATCTGGATAAATTCCACATTGTTTCATATTCTCGTTTTGCTTTCTGTATATGATTTGACTCTGCCCATTTTATGCATAATCGGCACCAAATCCAGAATAAATGAGGATTACCATATATATGTTGACATCTTGTGGATGTGAAGAATCTAGTTGTATTGGACTTCTTGAATACGGCAAGTTGTACATATGCAATTAAGGATTCACGTGAGCAACGTTTAGTTTGTTGACATTAGTCTCACAACTAAACTAATGAATACCCATCTTATGGGTGAAGCAGTTAATAAGCCTATTCTTCAACTTGCTTAAAGTACGGATTAAGTAAAATTAAAACATTCTTGATTTATACAAAAACATTGTAAATTTAAGTACAAAGAAGATAAAACATTTAATGCAGAATGAAGTGAAGAGGAAGATCAATGTTAGGAAAGACACAATACATTATTAGAGAAAGTTTAGAAAGTCTTAAAGAGAAAGAAAGTGGTTAAATAGAATATTAATTATGAATCATATCTCCAATTTAATTAATTTATAATATGATCTTAAATACTATATGATTTAGTCATTGTTCTCTTCTTTGTCGCCTTATCCTTGATTTATGCCAGTTTATGGAGCCGTATATTTTAAATTTGACCCAACCTTGCTTTTGACCCTATAATATAAATGCACGCATGTTTAGGCTAAAATAATGGTAAATGTGTAGATATAAATGATTGATATTAGGCATAGAATAAAGCTACTTTGAGATCCCATGATGTGTAAAAAATCTGGCAATTGAATAAGTGTTGTTCAATTAGGTTGTCAGATTGCCTATCACATTATGAGATGTCAACAAAACTGTCAATGTAACAAAATTGTTATGCATATTCTCATATTTAAATCGAATTAATTTCAATATATGAAGAAGGAGAAAGTTGAAAAAAATGTGAAGCTTCTTTCATGAACAACCAACCTTTTGGCTTAAGCCAAATGAAGGTGTTTGGTCCACTTGAATACTATAGTACCAAGATTGCCCCTTCTTTCTTAATCAATTTTATCTATCTCTAATCATTTATAATTGGGTAAAATCACTTCTGGCAAGACAATGCTGCATCTCTTTCATAGAGTTGTCTACAAAGAAGTTTGTTCAGCTCTCTGTATTCTTCAATAATAAGCCACCCCATCCTTACCCTAAATCTTAATTATGGAGTTAATACCCTAAATAGTCAGTCAACTTTGTCAAAAATTTTCAGGAGACCACTAAATTTCAAAACTTCTCTAAATAGTCAATGAGCTTTGCCAAAATTCCCAGGAAGTTACCGAACTTTGCAAATTGGGACCCCATGCATCAATGGTTCAATGACTATCTAGAGAAGTTTTAGCGAAATTTAGTGACTATTTAGGGAAGTTCAGTGACCCCCTAGGAATTATTTGCAAAGTTCGGTGACTACTTAGGGAAGTTTTGAAGTTTGGTGACCTCCTGATTATTTTTGGCAATGTACAGTGACTATTTAGGGTATTAATCCCTTAATTATGCATACAAGGTTAATTTAGGGAGCATATATGTACATTCCACCTATCACTCCAAAAACCCTGTTAAAATCTCTTGTAGCTTTCTCATTTCACGCCCTCTTCATGCCCACCATGAAACATACACTGTTGTTGTATCTACTCTTCCTCCATCCTTTATCCACCACTTCAAGCTCCATTCATGAACTCCTCAGAAGCAGAGGCTTGCCAGCAGGGCTTTTCCCCAAGAATGGAGTGAAGTCATATGAACTTGATGAAAATGATCAACTTCAAGTGTATTTGGAGTCACCATGTGTTGCTAAGTTTGAGACCAGGGTGTTTTTTGACGATGTTGTGAGGGCTAATCTAAGCTACGGTGGACTCACTGGAGTGGATGGTCTGTCTCAAGAAGAGCTTTTTTTATGGTTACCAGTGAAGGATATAATTGTTTCTGATTCTTCCTCTGGGATTATTTTGATTGACATTGGATTATCTCTTAAAACGTTGTCAATTTCTCTCTTTGAAGAACCCCCTACTTGCAATCCTCAAGGTACCCACACTCTCTCTCTCTGAATTATTCCTTTTTAATACTAAGTAAATATGATTTTATTGTTCATTCTAGATGATAAAATTGATTTTGCAATGCAGATGTACTGGTGGAAAAGAATCTTGCTAGGATAAGCTCCAATTAGAAGTTTGAGGAATAAAAGAACACTCAATGCTCTTTATCAGTTCTAATTTTCTCTGGTTTTGTTCGAGGCATTCATAGATTAGCCTTTCTTGTGAAACTTGAAGAACAGAGATGGAATGATTTTCTCATCTAATGCTTGTAGGATTGGAAAAATCTGGAGACTAACTGTAGAACTTTGGAATGAAATAAGAAGATTTTGAAGATGCAACTCTTGTTCATTCAAGAAACAACCTTATTTGCTTTATAAAAATCACATGGATCTTTTCATTTTTCAACACTTGAATATAAAGCATCGCAATTTAGGCGAAGTTTGTAAAATTCAATGAATTCTGCATACAGCTCAAAAATCTCCTAATAAGATTGTTTATCAAATGCTGAATGGAAGCTGGAAAAATAAGATAATCTCGACTAAGGCATGAGATTCTTTGCTTTGTCTGGTGATTCGGATGTAGAAGAAAATAGCAGCAACTGAAACAATGGCTAGTCCACCAAGAATTGCATCTCCACCAGCGACAGACGAATGATGCTTCCTAATTAGTGGGATTTCTGGATCTCCACTGGACATCCAATGAACCCCATTTTCTGATGGCGCTGGTGCTGGACTTGAAACTGCTACTGCATAGGCCCGAAGGCGAATGCAGTTCTCAACGCAATGCCTTTTCCCATAGAATCGAATAGTTCGGCTAGTATAATGTAAAGAAATAGAAATCTAGCCATAATAAATACCGAGTCCTGGACAAGATCTTAGCTCACTAAATGCAGGTATGGAGTTGTGTTATATGGTAGAAAATAGACTGGGTGTCCTTGCCAGGAGGTGGACAAACCGACTCTTAGATTCAAATCTTTGAAAAACATTAGTCTTTCTTTAAGACTCTGAACAATAAAAAATGGCATTCTTTTAAAAGTACGCATGTGGTAAGCATTTGGATATGCAGCTAATAACGGAAGGTGTCACTTAGGAAAAGCTTATCTGGGTGCTTGATGGAATCACAAACACTGAAACTTCATATTCTTCCCGAAATTTCCGTCCTGCACAACTTGCTTTAAACTTCATTTTCAGGGTGATTTTTCGTCTTCCTAAAAAACTTGCGACCAGCCAAATATCATATATATATATTTTTCATTTTTCTATGTTTACATTTAATTTGACAGAGCATGTTAGAGTCCACATTAAGGTTGGCAGACAAGGTCGGACTTAATGTTTTTACTCTTATTTAGCTACTTTGTTGTCAGTGCAATGTAATTATCGTGCAAGATATCATGTTCAAAATTGATTTAACCAAGAATTCATGCTCATACTGTTCTTTTAATAATTTTCATTTCTTTTGATTCACAATGGATTCTTCCATAATAGGTAAGTCGTGATCACTTGCTTGAAGTAGTTTCAAGACTGCTAAAAAATTCTTTTGTAGAAAACACGCTTAAAAGCAAGAATCACATTATCATCATCTTTATTAGTTTGTGGATCAATTGTAACTTCTTTAAATGCTTTTGGTGAAACGGGATAACAATTCTTTGAGCTGATCAACATCAGGTAGCCCATCTTGAGTTCCCTGAAATTTAGAGTGAAAAGAATTTTATAAACCTTAGTCCTTCTAAATACTGATGGAGACAAAAATATTATTCTGTACTAATGCACGATATCTGGTGTACTTGCATAGATATATGAGGATTGTACCTGTTAGAATTTGAATGTGACTCGAATTTCTTGTTGAAGTAATTGAAAAATTCTAATTGAAGTGTATATCAAAAAGAATTCAGTTTGGAATGCTATTGGAGTCCTATGTCAAGTTGAAGTTATATTTTGGAAGCCCATTGAGAACTGTAATTTGTTCTGGACTCGATTTTTTTGGTATCCTACTTCATCAATAACTCTACTAGGAGAGTTTGGATATCCCCTACATATTCCATATAAATATTAGGCTCTTCTATACAATTTTATAGTGTGAGAAAAAAGATTAATAGAATTATAGGATCTATTGTAATTTTTCTCTCTTCTCCACTATTCTTGAGTCAATAAAATCTCTTAATTCCTCTATCATATTCTTATTTTTATTATTCTTTTACTTGATCATATACTTCATTATTATTTACCATGGTTTGTTTCACAACAATTGGTATGAGAGCCCCAGGTTCAGCAGTTCCGTAAGAACGCATAGTTTGATTTGTTCTAGGTTTTTTTACTCGTGATGGCTTCCATGAAGTATGATATTCCACTTTTGGATATGAGCACTAGATTTTCACTATGGTAGGTTAAGATACGTGCAGTACTCGTACATCTGGATTTGGATGATGCATTGTTGGGAATTGACAGGATGCCTACAATTTTGGCTGTGGAGGAGAAATTACGGAAGGATAAGAAGACAGTTTCTCACATTCATCTTCATCTATCAAATACTATTCTTCAGGACATTTTGAATGAGAACTCAACAGCTGCTTTATGGTTGAGGTTGAAATAATTGTGCATGACTAAAAGTTTGACAAGCAAGTTGAACCTGAAGCAGCGTTTATACTCTCATCGAATGGTAAAAGGAGGATCATTGGAAGATCACCTATTTGTATTTAAGGAGATCGTCGCTGATTTGAAAACTTTGGATGTAGAGTATGATGAAGAAAATTTGGCCTTAATCCTATTGTGTTTATTGTTCGCTTTGTTTTCTTCATTTAGAGACATGATCTTGTATAGACGTGATACTCTCACCATAGAGGAAATGTATGATGCTTTGTATTCAAAAGAAAAGATGAAGCATCTGGTTTCTGAGGCCTGAGATGGAGAGGCCTGGTTGCTCATGGTGGTTCTGGACGGGGCATATCGAAATCTAAGTAATCAAATTTGTAACTACTGCAAGAAGAATAAACACTTAAAGAAAGATTGCTACAAATTACAGAATAAAGAAAGGATGTCTGCAAATAGATATTTAGATACTTCAGACGAAGCAGACCTCGCGGAGAATGTTGTAAGTGATGGAGATCTTTTAGCCATTTCTGACATTAAGTCTAAACCGAAAGACGATTGGATTCTTGATTCAGCATGTGCGTTTCATATGTGTTCTAATAAGGACTTGTTTGCTACATATGAAACTGTTTCCAAATGTGTCGTGGCTATGGGAAACAATGCATCTTGTCGGGTTGCTGGAATTGACACAGTCAGATTGAAGCTTTTGGATGAGACAATTAGAACACTTGGCCAAGTTCAACAAGTTTTAGATTTGAAGAAAAATCTCATCTCGTTGTTTATCTTTGATTCAAAAGGTTATGAGTTCTTTGGTGGAGGTGGAGATTTGAAAGCTTGTAAGGGTGCCGAAGTTGTATTGGAGGGACATAAAATGTCTCAATTATATATCATGCAAGGCCGTGCAGAATTTAGAAGTGTCAATCTGCATAGGTTCAATACCATGATGGACATTCAGTTTGGTATAATACTTTTAGGAATTCATAAAGGGCCAGATTTGAAGAATACAGTCAGTGGAGTTCAGGAGATATGGATAATATCACTTTACCACTATCACTTACGGTGCCATTGTATTCAATTGTTATGGACAGACCTAATGAAAAAGGGTATATGGATGCTGATTTTGTTGAGCATACTTTAAGTGGAGTAGAATGTATACAATCTAACAAGGGACTTTCTTTAAAAGCATTTGGGTTTNAGTCCACATTAAGGTTGGCAGACAAGGTTGGACTTAATGTTGTTACTCTTATTTAGCAACTCTGTTGTCAGTGCATGATATCATGTTCAAAATTGATTTAACCAAGAATTTATGCTGATACTGTTCTTGTAAAAATTTTCATTTCTTTCGATTCACAATGGATTTTTCATCAACAGGTAAATCTTGATCACTTGTTTGAAGCAGTTTCAAGACTGCCAAAAAATTCTTAAATAGAAAACACGCGTAAAAGCAAGAATCAAATTATAATCATCTTTATTAGTTTTTGGATCAATTGTAACTTCTTTAAATGCTCTTGTTGAAATGGGGTAACAAGTCTTTGAGCTGATCAACATCAGGTAGCCCACCTTGAGTTCCCTGAATTTTAGAGTGAAAAAGAAGTTTATAAACCTTAGTCCTAAATACTGCAGGAGACAAAAATATTATTCTGTACTAATGCTCGATATCTGGTGTACTGTATACAAGGATCGTACCTTATAATCTACTACCAGAAAAGAAAATGATTTCTAGCAAACAGATGAGCAGACAAATTGTAACAAGTGATTGTTATTATTTATTAAAAGAATCAAACTTACCTCCACACATGAAGTAACAAGAATTGCTCCTTTGGAGGTGGTGACACTGATATCAGTAATATCAAATCCAAGCACACTTATGGCCTCCATTATTTTGGTAAATCTGCCTTTTGTTTTCTGATAGACGATCTTTATCCAAAGTTTAGTCCCGTAAATGGAAGTCACCTGAACTTCTGGCTGTTGAAAGAGATTAAAAATAATAATTTACCATGATCGATGAAAATAAAGGGAACAAAAAAAGTATAAAAACTTCATAGTTCATAATTAACAATCATAGTACTTCTATCCCCCTTACCTTCATTTCTTCTGTTGAATCCATCTCTTCAATTTTTGTGACCTCTTCCTCCTTTACAAAATTTGCATCCATTTTGAGTAGTTGGTCACTAAGATCTTTTACATGCCTCTATAGCTCCTCAATATAAGTGACATCATCAATAATTATGGTGGCTTTATTCATCTCCTCATTTGGCACACATCTTAGAATGATCTGATCAACGTCCCTCATGTATAATATGGGATCTTCCCAATTATAGTGTTTCAAATCTAAAAAAAGCTTCTTCCTTTGGTAATATGTTACCTTAAGTGAAAGCACAATACACATCAAGGAATTTACTATTTTTGCATACCATGACCTCAATCAACAACAAAGATATGCTCATCTGGGAAAAAAATCATTTATATCAATATCATCATTGTGTTCTGCCTATTCAAGCTTTGAAAGGTGGTCTAATACCACATTCTCGCTTCCTTTCTTGTCCAGAATCTCGAAGCCAAACTCTTGAAGAAGAAGTATCCACCGAATCAACTTAGGCTTCGTATCCTTCTTAGACATCAGATATTAAAGGGTCGTATGATTTGTGTAGACAATTACATTTTGTCCCATGAAATATGATCTGAACTTATCAAAGGCAAACACAATGGCTAGTAGTTCATTTTCCATGGTTGAATAATTCAGGCATGCCTTTGTAAAAGTCTTTCTCGCATAATCACAGCAACATGGATAGTTTTTTCCTTTTCTTGACCAAGAACTACCCCTACCGCATAGTCAGAGCATCGCACATCAACTTAAATGGCAATCCCCAGTTCGGTATACCTATGCTGAAATTAACTTTTCTTTTAGAGTGTTGAAGGATGTCAAACATACTTCAGAAAATTTGAATGGTATATCCTTTTCAAGTAAGCTGTAAAGAGGTTTGGTGATTATGGATAAATCCTTAATAAACCTTCTATAGAACCCTACACGTCCGAGAAAACTACGTACTCCCTTAATTGAAGTTGGTGGATGTAGCTTTTCTATCACCTGAATATTTTCTTTATTCACCTCGATATTATTCATTCATGCACCATGAGGTGACACTTCTCCCAATTGAGCACTCACATCATTGCAAGACCATCCCCAAATTTGATAGGTTACTCTCAAATGATGAACCAAACACTAAAAAGTAATCTATGAAGAATTCAATGTTTTTCTCTACCATATCTAAAAATATTGCCATCATGCATCGCTAAAATATGGAAAGGGCATTGCATAACTTAAATGGCATCCTTTTATCTGCAAAGGTACGACAAGGGTACATAAATTAGTCTTTTCTCGATCCTCTAGAGCCACTACCATCTGATTCTATTCTGAGTACTGATCCAAGAACCAGTAATGTGAATGCCCCTCTATTCTCTCTAATATATAATTGATGAAGGACAAAGAAAGCGATCATTTTGAGTTGCATCATTCAGCTTCCTATAGTGTATGCACACTTTCTATCTCATGACTAGCCTTGTCGACATCAACTCATTATTCTCATTATTTGCCACTATAATCCCTCCTTCTTTGGCACCACATAAATCAGACTAACAAACTTTGTTTTAGAGATTGGATAGATGATACCTATTTCAAGGAGCTTCACTACCTCTGCTTGCACGACGACCCTTATTGTGAGATTCAAGCTGCACTATTTTCCACTATTGTCTTTTACTATTCTTCCATCAAGATTTTGTACGTACATATTGATGGACTAATTCATCTTATGTCTGTTATAGACCCCCTAATAGCAGCTTTATGTTCTCGTAGGACTCTTAGTAGTCTCTATTCTTCCAAGTCGGTCATCTTAGTTGCATTAATCACAAGGAATGTAGATGAATATCCTAATTAAGCATACCTCAGATGTGATGGCAATTGCTTAATCTCAAAATTTGGTACTTTCTGAATAGAAGGTAATAGTTTTGTAGGTCCTGTACTAAGTTCCTCAAACTGCCTTTTTCTGATGGGCGGAGACTCAAATATTTTATACCACTCTCTAGGTGATTGTTTCAGGCCGTATAAAGATCTTTTTAAGAAGCATATATGATCAGGTTTAATAAAGATCTTTTCAAGAAGCACACATAGTTAGGTTTTAATTTATCTTTAAAACCTCTTGGTTGATTCATAAAGATTTGCTCATCAAGTTCACCATGTAAAAAAGTAATTTTTGCATCAAGTTGTTCAAGTTCCCAGTCAAAATGTGCAATCAATGCAAGTATAACTCAGTAGTGTACTTAACAAGAGGTAAAAAAATCTTGTTATAATCAACCCCCTCCTTCTGATTGTACTCCTTGGCCACTAACCTAACCTTAAATCTTAAAGGTTCAAATGCGCTAGTACCCTCATTAACCTTAAATACCCACTTACCTTCAACATTAGATTTATTCATAGGTTTAAGTATAAGCTCCAAGTTTGACTCTTTTCTAAAGAACTCATTTAATCTTTCATTACCTTAAACAACTCTTCAGATTGGTCACTTTTCATCACCTCCCCAAAGGTTTTTGGCTCTCTATCAGCTAACTCTTCATAGCCCGCATGAGCAAAGACTAGCTCAAACTCATATTCGAATCTTACAGGTGCTCTAGATTGTCTTCCCTCTCTAAGTTATAATATGCTAAAGGATTTTCTTCTTCAGGATGTTTTTCTATCACTACTTCATCTCTATTTTCCATATCAGCATGTTGTTCCTGAGTCTCCACCCCACTCTGTATAATAGGGATGGATGTGCTAAGTTTTCCTAAGTCCACCTTCAATCGATTTCTCTCTTCACCTTGTTTTTCTTCACTCACAGGTTCAGATTCAGTTTTAAGGCATGATATTTTGCTCTAATTCAATGTAATATCTCTACTCACAATGATTTTAACCCCCTTTTGGCTCCTATCCCACAACTTGTACCCCTTAACACCTTCAGGGTAACCTAGAAAAACACATTTTTATCTCTAGGTTCAAGTTTTCTCTCACTCTGATGAAAAACTGCAGCATAACCAAAAGTTCTAAGCATAGAATAATCACTTAGTTTACCAGACCATTTTTCATGCGTAGTATCCCCATTTAATGCAACAGCCGGAGTCAAATTAACAAGATAACAAACACTCATAACAGCTTTTCCCCAAAAACATTTTGAGACTCCAGAATT